TTTGATTTGGCGACCAATGATTTGGCTTCGCAATGCTGAGGGCAGATGCTGAGTGAAGCCAATTACAGTAAGGATAGAAATATCTTCCTCCAGCAGCTTCACCAGCTAGTGGTCTATTTCTGTTTCCTACACGGTGTTTGCTAATGGGCAGAACCAAGTATTTATTTAACAACATCACTTGTTCTTCTGAATAGTGCCATTTGCCTCTTTAGATTATGAAAATGGGGGTGGGGGGGGAGAGACTTAGCCAGCACCCGAGATTATCTCTGGAGTAGTGGACCCATAGTGACTGGGGCACATGGTCAGCTGGTAGCAGAGTGGCAGCCTGCATGTCAGTGCTCCAGAGCAACCCAGAGATTTGTGGAAGATGTGCTACTTTGTTAGATGTCCCTCAGCTTCCTGTGGCTCAACCACAGGCTGGGTGTAGGTGGACCAGAGAGGACCAGGCTTCATTCTGATCAACCTGTTCTCTAAAGAGATGATCGCTTCACTGCCAGCAGCTGTGTTCTAAATAGTCTTCCCGCCCTCTTTGTTTTTAGGCGTTCCATCCAACTGTTTATGTGCTGCTGCTTGTCAATTCTGCCAATATCAGTATATTTTTTCATAGTTTTAGAGCAGTAGTTTGGAAGCATTGGATTGGATCTGGGAGTGGGGTAGTAAGTGAGGGCCTGGTTCTTCTAGTGCTGGGAATGAAGGCACTGTCAGGGTAGCCAAAGGAACGCCCTGCCCTCAGGATGCTGGGGGAAAACCAATGGCTTCATGCCCATATAAACTCTAAGAGATTATCATCCCTTTGTTGGCTCTTGTTGTGGTGGTGGTGGCATCAGATTGACACTTGGGTCTCTTGTTGCTCTGGATCCAATCCCACTGTACTGAGGGTGCTGCTGCTTTGCCCATTAAAGTTCTGATGATTTCTTCTGAAGAGGTGTTCGTTTCCTTCCTTCCTGTGACCTCCAGAGGTCTGCTTAACATTAAGAGCACAAATATTAATATAAGAAGAGCCCTGCTGGATCAGGCCAAGAGCCCATCTAGTCCAGCTTCCTGTATCTCACAGTGGCCCCACCAGATGCCTCTGGGAGCACACAAGACAACTAGATGCCTGTCTCCTGATACCCCTCCCCTGCATCTGGCATTTTGAGGAACCTTCCTTTTAAACCTGGAGATTATACATCCCCATCATGACTTACAACCTGCGATAGACTTTTCCTCCAGGAATCTGTCCAATCCCCTTTTAAAGGCATGTAGGCCAGATGCCATCACCACATCCCGTGACAAAGAGTTTCACAGACTAACAACATGCTTGGTAAAGAAATATTTTCTTTGGTCTGTTCTCATCCTCCCAACACTCAATTGGAGTGGATGTCCCCTGGTTCTGGTATTGTGTGAGAGGGAGAAGAGCTTCCCTCTCTCCACTTTATCCATCCCCTGAATAATTTTATATGTCTCAGTCATGTCCCCCCCTCAGGCATCTTTTCTCTAGACTAAAGAGCCCCAAACGCTGTAGCCTTTCCTCATAAGAGAGGGGCCCCAGCCCAGTCATCATTTTAGTCACTTTCTTCTGCACCTTTTCCAGTTCTACTATGACTTTTTTGAGGTGCGGCAACCAGAACCGGATGCAATACTCCAAGTGCGGCCTTATCAGTGTTTTGTATAATGAACCATGTCACAGAATGTCCGTATAGATATACAGTTGTTGATATGACATAGTCTCATACATACTGCGGGCTTCCCTATTGTAAGCTTCGCTTGGCTTGTTTTGTTGGACTGTCATAAGACTGCATGCTGGTGATATGGTTCTTCTGTCCTGGCTCCCCTCCCCACCTCACCTCTAGGATTTATAATCAGATGGCATGAGTTTGTAGTTTATAAAGTAATGCACATATCAAGCATGTGTTATTATCATTATTTTATTGTATAAGAGGTACTCATCAGAAAATACATTTTGTCAGTGTGCCACTTAGAAGCTATTTTGGGGTTTATTGTTAAGAGAGGTTGCATTCTTAAGTGCATTTATCTACAGCAGAGAGATACCCAAGATAACCGATAGGTATGGATTCATGAGCAAGCAGATGATACGTTAAACTTTTTGTTTTCAATGGAAATTTTTGTATACACATTGCCCACACAAATAAATATAGCAGCTGTCTGCACAAATGAGACATTTATGGCCAAGGTTGCGAGACCTTCAAGATGTTAATGATCACTCTTATTCACACCTTAACATACATGCACACATGCTTCAAACACATCTTTCCATCAAGAATCAGAAAATGAATCTATAGATAGGCCTGTGTCTCTCTTGCTGTCAAGTTCTACAGAAGACAGGCCTGCTGGAGTCAGATTTGTTCCCTGTAGACAATTTGATCTCATGTGAGATTTAATCTCCAGTTCGGCTCCAGCCTTGAATGGACTCCTTTGCTATAATCATAGCAATGCTGAAGCACAAGGAAATCCTGCCCTTACTCCAGGTGTCTTTGAAAGAAACCCCATGACCTCATAATCCAAAGAGCTCAGAATCATGCTGTCAATACACATCAGAAGTTTCTTTTTCTTAAAAAGCCCCATTTCACCTCTTGACATCCATAATTGTAATTATCAATATTTGTACCTAAGCAATTGTCATCACTCTGTAATGAGAGCTGTGAATATTCATGGGCAAGGAAGAAGAGAGTGTGACCACTTCATCCACAATGTGTTATCCCTGTTCTTTGGACCAAAACAGTTCCCACAAAATGTATTAATGGTCACAAACCTAAGGATGAAAAGTTGGAGTTTTTCAAGTTGCTTGCTTAATTAGGAAATCAACACAATAGAGTGCTCATAGAGAAAGGGTTGTAAGTGCAAATTTTAGAGCTTTCAGGGGAAAAAAAATCCACATATGAATATCCGGTTAGGAAATTGGAGATGCGATGTTTTGTATTATGTATGCATTTATATTTGTAACAACTACCTTTTCTCAACCTAGACAGCCTGTCAAAATCATTAATAAGAATTATTTACAAGACATTTCAAAGCTAGAATAGAAGTAAAACTTTCAACTGCTATTTACATACCAGTAGATGAATAATTCTGAAATGTAGCTGAGAAAATGTTGATTCGAAAATAGTTTATTAATGAGGAATAGAAGCAGTTATTTTAAAACCTGAAGACAGTGCAGATTATAAATTCTGTGGTCAGGTTAATCCTTTGCCCTAAAGGACAGACATCTTTAAAACTTTTACCACCTAAACAATTACAGCAATAGTAAATGAGAAGCATTTTCCTTGGTTTGGAAAAAAAAACAAAAACAAAAAGCTAGGGACTTGTTTAAGGCTTCCTCATACGAAGGTGAATGTTATGAGCTCCTGAGTTGTTCTCTAATTACAAACTGACATGAGGGAGATATCCTTACTGTTATGGCTTACAAATACTTACAAATCTTTGTGAAAGCCACCAAAGAGTGTGCCAGGGAATGTCTTGGTATCAGCAGTTCTCTGCTTGGGTCTGTAAGACCAGGCAGCTTTTACATCTGGATAGGATACGAGCTAGCAGAGCAACATGCACCCACTCTAGCCTCAAGTTTCAGGGATAAAAACCGAGGGCTGAGGAAAAGTCCATCTCCTATCCATAGAATCTGTTTAGAAGTTGTGAGCTCCTGCCCAAGACCTCAGACTTTGTCCTTATTGACTGATTAATCCTTTACACTGAACTGGGCAGAGTAAAGAAATTGACAAGAGCGACAGTTGACTGAGGAAAAAAAATGGCCAGAATCCTGCCTTTCTTTGCTTAAGGATTATATAACCTGTGGTGGCTAATTAATGAGGCACATCTCATTTGTACAGTCAGGTGTATAACCATGTACACAAGTTACATACAATTTATGCAAACATCAGCAGGATTCTGGTGGATTATTCATCCTCTTTCCCTCTTCCCCTTAGCAATATAGGAACACATCAAATGTCTTAATCAAAGGTCGCAAATCATGACTTTCAAATCCCCATTTATTATGAGACACATGTCCCTAATACGTAATGAAAAGCATTTTTACTTAATTAAAAGAATATTGGCCAGTTAATTAGAAGAGTTTTATTGATTAGTTGATGATCAATTAACTCTTCATTACCTGTCTTACTCAAGCATGTGTATGAATAAAGCAATCATTCTTAGTTTTTAGAAAGGTGCATGTTATTTAATGCAGCACTTGTGGCACGCACCCTCTCCAGAGAGCCTTTCCTAGCAGGAACAGAAAATAACCTGTGTTACAACACACTCAGAAATTTACTTTTACTTAAAAAAAGAGATAGTGGCTGCCATCTTAGAAGGGGAACGGCCCTATCTCTCATACAGAGACCAATGTGGCTTCTGAGAAGGTGAATGCTAATTGGTCAGGCTATTTTATCAACTCTTTAAATGGGCTAATCAGAGAAAATTTGTAGCTCTTATAACTAGCATAAACATTTAGACTCGGATTTACATGGACACTGGGGGCACAACACATTGGCTCATGTGCCAGTCCTACTCATCCAAGGGATTTTTGACTAAACATCCTTTTCTTGTATCTGCAGGAAAACTCTCCTGGTAGTTTCTGTGAGGAAATAGTTTTTTCCTATTTCCTCACAGTTTCCAGCAGTCCCCCCCCACCACTTTAAAAATGATACTAAGAAACATTTCTAAGTAGCAGCTTCTTGGGGCAGTAAGAGACAAAGCAGCTCAGATCTATTAAGAAGAAACACGGCTGCCTATAATTTTCAATCAGCCCCCATATTGTTGAAGGAGACTGAGTGACAGCCTAAGTACCACATAAGTGCCGTATTGTATTCTCCCATTTTATTCAGCCTGGGAATGAGAGCGTAAAGCATTTGACGGGAGGTGCTGATTTAGCAAGGCAGGAGCCCTGCTGTGATCAGAGATGGGGCTGCAAGAGCACCATTTATCCTGTAAGTGGCAATGATTCTCTGCAGATTTACGGTAAACACATGCAGGAAGATGCAAAGCCGCCTTGATATAATGGTAGTTCTTACTTGGAGGCAGATCCTTCACTTTGGGAATATGGAAGCACTGACGGAGGTGTTTCAGCCCGTCTTCTTCGTCTAAGTGCAAAGCAACTTGTTCATCCACTGGTCTACAAGCCAGCTGCGAGGCAACCATTTCTATAATGCTTGCTGGGGAGCCAAGAGGAGACAGATCCATTTGGAAATTATTCATTTCTCACTCTGAAAATGAAAAAATAAAAGCAGGGGATCTCCATTTAGATTCGATGTGCATGAATATTGGCTAGCATTTGATGCAAAGATTATAGCTCTATCTGCTGAGTTTCAGACTGCAGGCTCTTAAAAGTGAAATGCTTGGGAGTGTAAGGCAAAATTGAGAAGTTCTCAAGTCTAGTGTTTTTTTGTTTCCCAGGCAGCATGCTGCTGTAGCCCTAAAGCCATTAGTTTTAAATACCCTGCTTTTCCTATAAAGCTATATCAGCAAGTTCTGTGTTTTACCACTGATCTAACAGCGGTAACAAACTCTATAGTGTCATTCACACTTTCAGAACCAAAAAAGCTGCAGGCAACATGATTGTTTCTGCAATCTGTGCTCCTGAAAAATAGCAGGTGCATTGCCACATTTAAATGTGTGTTTTTCAAGCCTGAGCAGTCTTTAGGTTCCTTAGCTTCTTGATTCACAGAAGCTATTTAAGGGATGGCGAAGTTTTAGATTGGGAGGACTGATTGAAAAAAGAGTAGACTCAAGCTTTTTTCTTTTTCTTTCTTTTCTTTTTTAATGAGACCTAGAACATACCTCCACTGTAGGATCCTGAGTAATGAAGACTCTGCACTGGTGAGTTCCTTAAAGAACATATGTGAATAAAGCTTGAACATTAGTCTGTGTTTATTTTATTTTATTTGCCACCTTTTGCCCAGAATTGGGACCCAAGGCAGCTTGCACGACAATTTAAAACCACTGCAGATCAAAATACAATAAAGCAGTAAGCCACCCAGAGTAGTGGCCTTGCTGCCAGATGGGTGGGATAAACAAACAAACAAACAAACAACAAACATGACAAGGCTAGCATTTCTCAGCTCGTTGCACCTTGGCAAATTGTTGTACTTCGGAAGGGAAAAAAAACTTAGCGCAAAGTGTCTATGTAATGGTGAATGGCAATGAAAGACAAGATCACATTGTCCAAATTGTTCTTTTTTATATATATTCTCACATTTTTCTGTTTATTTATTGTCCCTCCAAACTGCATCTTTGGCCTTCTCGCTTCCTACTATGGGGTTCTTCAAGTCTAAGTCAGTCATCTGGGGGGAGTGAAAGGACAGTCTAGCCACCTTGGGATCTTTTTAAGGAGAAAGGCACAATAAAACTATTGTAAATGAAATAAATAAATATCTTCAAATGGATATATTACATCATGAGTCAATAAGAAAAAATCAAGGAAAGACAAGGCTATTACGGTTGCTCTTGTTCTAACAGAGTTGGGCAGCATCATCACTGCCCTGAAAATGAGTGTGGCAGCTCCCCACAGTGATATTAATTTACATCCAAAACAGTTTCCTAGGTTCTTCAGCAGATAGGATATCCTTCCTGGATGCCTTCTCCCATTTATTTTTCCACTCAGTTGATCTGTAACAACCCACACTTTCCATTTCTCATGAAGTGACTGCTTCTCAGTCTCCTTTTTATATTTCTGAATCCAAAGACCACTGCAATAAGCCAGAGTGGTGCTTAAGCTTGGGAATCTGCTTAGCAGTGATTCAAATGTTGCCTGTAGTTAGAGGGGTGGCTCTATAAAAGTTCATTCCAAACATAGCAAGTTCCATGAGTTAATGTACATAATGAATTAATACTCAGCTGGTCATTAACTTTATTAATGGTGGTAGTCCAGGGACAGTCACCATGAACTCTGCAAAGGAGAGAGGTCCTTTTTCTGCAGCAACCCCTCCCATTGATTTTTAATTTCACTAAGACTAGTTGCTAATTATTCCTGTTAATTAATAGAGAAGCACTACGAGGCCATCTTCCAAGTTTAGCTTACTACTCTCTCACCCCAGATGAGATCAAAACAGTTAGGTCACTTTCACCATGGCCAACAATCCTGATGAAGCTTATTGGCCAATGTGCCCCATTAGACATAATAGAACTACTTCAAGAAAACAAACAGAACTCTTCTTTTGCATGCACATTGTGCCTATAATGGGCAGGCTTCATTAGTCTCACTTGCCACAAACATCATTGCTAGTGTGACAAGAGAAGCTTGACAAGTGACAAGAGTTTCAACCATGCCCCAGAGCATCAGATGAAACTTGTACTCTCTTTGCTTCTCTGTCTCACATAATAGAAAGGTGGAGGAGAAAGAAGCTTTGAGCAGGAATCTCATGTAGGCAACTGGAGCCTTGCCATCAGCCCCTGGCTAAAATCTTCAGTTTCACCAGTGGAGGCTGGTCCATGTAGGCAAAACAGCCCGCTCCTCAAGCACAGACAATGTGTTGGAGTCACCTTAAAGGCAAAATGTAATTGCCTTTAAATGTCATTGCTCTCCTGTGCCTGCAGATGGCTCCCAGTCATACCATGGAGAGGAGTTCCTCAACATAGATGCTTTAATTGCCAACAGCTCCAGATGCCATCGTTATAGCCTTCTCCAATTAAAAGAAAAGGGAAAATCTCTCTTCCCCCCTGTGTTGGCAGTGATGAACACCTTCCTGCCACAACAAGAATGAAAGCCAGTGGGCAGTAATCTTATTGCCCTACGGGTGTGTGTTTGTTTGTTTTTACTGCTGAGAGAGCCTAGACAGGAACTATCTGTTTCCTGTATGCCTCTTTTACTTGCATGCTGTGAGCACAATATATGGGTAAAGAAGTCAAAATAAGGCACTCAAAACAAGATTTGCTTTTCTGTTGCTAAAGAGGCAAACTCCACCCGGAAAACAACATTCACCACACACCATGGGACATTCATTAGACTCCTTAAGAAGGAGGAGGGGTGATCCAATTTTCTCTGAAACCCCCGTTATCCATAGTGCAATGCCATATAAAATCAACAGAATTACTTTTGCATTAAATGCTAATAACACTCCTGAACATAATGATCTCTTTTCACATTGTAGAATTTGACAATTGCCTGTGGTAGCACTTCTGCTTTGCACAAAATACTATCTTGCTGATGTTGCCTGAATAAATTTTTAAAAAAGATCACTCATTGGTAGGAAAAGTCCATTACCTGTTCCAGCTCCCTACCTTCTAATAGTCAGCTAGATTTACATACTCAGTTGTTCATAGAGAAAACTAACTTTTTTTATTTCTGATCCTTTGTCTTTAGGTTATTGAGCTTACAATATTTAAATATCCTTTGAGACAATCTCTGGATCAGAACAAAAGTGCTACATTATCTGTGAAAAGTATGGTTATACTTTGTTGGGCCTATTTTGGTGGATGACAAGATTCATCAAAGGAGAGGGCAAATTTGTTTTAAAAAAATAAACAATAAAGGAGAGAGTAAATACCTTTGTCATATTCCTTTGTTTAAATCAAATAAGTCTATCATTTTTTCCCTTTAAACCACAGTGTACTTGACCTGTGCAACCGACATAAAGCCTTCAAATCAGCACTAACAAGCTTTATCAATCCTAGAGTTTTCTAGTTTCTGCCATAGTTTATCATGGTTATTTGAATAAAAGGTCCCTTTCAGGTCCATAAGGCCACAAAAAGTCATCCACCTGGAATAGCTATATACTTTTCTGCTAAATGCTTCAACAGGAGGCAATGGTCAACTTTAGAATTTCTTCTAAAGCCCATTTTTCACTTGGCCTGTGCTATTCTCAACCTCTAGCCATTCTTTCAGTCAATCTAATAGGCCATGAGTATATAGTTTTCCTAAAGAAGAGAGAAGACTAATTGTTTGATAGCACTCAGGACTGGATCTCTGGCCTTTTAAAACTATTGGTACTATTGTGGTACATTTCCGTATATCTGGAATGGATCCTGTGTCATTGATACGGATGAATGCTGCTGCTAAGACTGACGTCCATCATTTAAAATTAGCCCTAAATAATTAAATTGGAATCTGGTCTGCTTTGCCCTGTCCTAAAGATTTTATATAAGTTTCAATCTCTTGAATATTCACTAGGTTCCATGGAAGGATTTCTTCTTCAGAACTAATTATACTCTTATTTGGGTTTGTTATTTTTCAGAAAATAATTTTTTTGTAATACTTTGCCCAGGCTAGAGGCGAGATGCTAAACAGAATGCAGTAATAGGAATGTAAAGGTGAGTTTACTATAGACCAAAATGGAATATTATTTTCTTGATCAATGGGTATGATCAAGTGTTTCCAAACTTTATATAATTCTCCCCCTTTACTTTCATTAATTAGATCTTTATAGGTTACTTTTAACTCAACAATTCCCTTACATTGGATAATTCTTTTAAGATACTTGCATTCAGAATTCTTTCTGAAGAATCTTCATGAGTCAATACCATTTCTTTTACAAATAAAGATTTGGGGGGGGGTTGTATTTATTTTTAAACTATTAAGGATAGGTTAGGGAATACAGAAGGTAAAAGGAAGTGGAAGGGATGGAAAAAGGGTTTTAAGAATAGGAGAACACAAAGTATATAGTCATCCGATCTAGTCATATTAAGTATACAAGCATGTAATCTATTCAATTTTCAATAAAAGCTCAACTTTCTACTTCTTTTTAAAAAACTGTTTGATTACCCCCTAGCTTTCAACTTGCAATTATGTTATGATTTGAATCTAAGTTATTCCAACACTATCAGGAAACTGAGACCAATTGTAAAATACATCCCCTCTTTCAATTTCCTTTTGTCTTGGACATACATTCAGCAGGCCTGAAAGAGTATACATTTCAATCACTTCCCATATTTTCTCAATATGCTTCTTTTGTTTCTGTGACTCTATTTTCTTCCATTTTTTGGAAGGGAAGGACAGATCCAGAACAATAATCCGATTTTTAACCTCACACTTTCTGACTGTTGTAGCTATATAGCTTACTGGGTAACGCTTAATCCCCTTTATATTGTCTGGTACTGCACTCAATACACACAGTTCTGGAGTAATATAAAGATTTGAACAAACCAAGACATTGAAACAGTATACATAAGCATTTCTGTTGTCCATTCCCTCCAATGAGATTTTGTGAAAACAATACACACTTAATAGAGTTTCAACAACTAAAAAAGTTTGTAGAGCCAATAGCTTGAGGACATTTACTTGATCAAATTCATCTTTCTATTTAATGGATACTCAACAAGGGAAGTTTCATCTATTGCTTCTATACTTGAATTTATGCTACTATCTCATTTTGGTTTCTGTGAACTGCTTCCCAATTCTTCAGTGGAAAGATCTTGTAAGACATTGAATCGATCTGGAATCTTAGGGCTCGGTTCCATGTTGAAATAGTCCTGGGTTTGCATCAGGTTTAGCATACTTGAAATTGATTTTTTTAAAAAAATCTATATACAAAATGTACAGTTAAGCCCACATTTTTGTCAGGAATTTTGTTTAGAAAATGCGGTATTTTAAACAGCCAGGATGGGGTTGTTTATTTTAACTTGATTGTAAATGGGATTTATTTTGAATCATTTTGCCATGTGTGGTCACCAGGATCAGAGTGTCTCTGCTCCCTTGCTCCACCTTAATTCCTCCTGCTTACAATAAAAGGTGTAACGAATCAGAACAGCATTCGTTTATGTCATAAGGCAAGCACATAATATAGCTTAGGTTTAAAAAATATATATCAGAAAATAGACCCAGCTGGGTCTATATATCAGAAAACAGACCCAGCAGAAAGGTTGAATGGGAAAAAACTCTCACCCTTTTGCAAGACTAGAAGCTGCTGAGCGTGTCAATTTCTCTGGTAAATTTATCTTTGCCACTTACTGGCACACCTTCCCTCTCACCAGCCCCAGCTGCTGGTTCCATCGCCCCCTCTCCTCCCATGTATATGTGCTTGTGTGTCCATGCATGTAGTATGTCAGTCTTCAGGGAAACCTTGCAGTCTGATCTCTTTTTCTCTCTATAGGTTCTTTAATTCCTCCTCACTTTCTGCCATCAGAGTGGTATCATCTGCATATCGGAGGTTGTTGATATTTCTTGCGGCAATCTTAATTCTGTCTTGGGATTCATCCAGTCTAGCCTTTTGCATGATATATTCTGCATATAAGTTTAATAAGCAGGGGGACAATATACAGCCTTGTCGTACTCCTTTCCCAATTTTGACCCAATCCGTTGTTCCATATCCAGTTCTAACTGTTGCTTCCTGTGCCACATATAGGTTTCTCAGGAGATAGATAAGGTGGTCAGGCACTCCCAGTTCTCTAAGGATTTGCCACAATTTTCTGTGGTCCACACAGTCAAAGGCTTTTGTGTAGTCAATGAAGCAGATGTTTTTCTGGAACTCTCTGGCTTTCTCCATAATCCAGCGCATGTTAGCAATTTGGTCTCTAGTTCCTCTGCTCCTTCGAAATCCAGCTTGTACTTCTGGGAGTTCTCAGGCCACATACTGCTGAAGTCTACCTTGTAGAATTTTGAGCATTACCTTACTCAAAACCTATATTAGTTTATAATGTATAATATAAACTAATAAATTGCATAGGAACAAATAGCCTAAATTAGCAGACAATAGGAACCAACATAAGCAGGCTGAGAGAGAGAGATAGCCTAAACAGCAGAAACTACTGCAAGCAGGATGGGGGAAATGGCATAAATTAGTAAACAAGCAATAGAGAGATATTTTTGAAGAGCAGGGTTCCTTATCTTAGTTAATAAGTAGCAGAAGCTAATAAGAGCAAACTATGATTAATACTCAAGCCTTCTTCCTGCCACAAATTAAGTAAAATTAATCAATAATTTAAATGACACTCTGATTAATTACTTATTAAAATTAATTAAAAATTAATTAAAAATAGAACATAATTAAATTCATTCAGACTCTTTAGAATATAAATATTGGAACAGATTTATTGACTCCAAGTATAAGGGCAGTGCCCAATTAGCAGCATGGACACTGTTCAGCTAGTTCCTGTCTATGCTAGTTATGAATTAATAATAAAACATAACTGGAAACCTGAGACGGCAGGGAGGAGTATAAACAATACAGGTGTACAGACAAAAAAAAGAGGAAATGTGGGGGTGGCTCTTCCAAGGTGTTCACCATGGGTGGCACTAATAGCTGTGCTGTGGATGCCTTGCTAGCTGAAGCTCTCCATGCCCTGCCTTTCAAAACCTCACTCTTCCCTTCAGCAAAAAGTGTAAACAAGCAGATAGAAAAAGCAGTGGAGGAGAGTCACTCAGGTAATCTCTGCAGCATGGAGTTTGCTTTTAACAGGCATGCTGCAGCAGGGATGGAGACTCGAGTTGCAGGACTTGCTGTCAAGTCAGACTGAAGTCGCACTGGCAATTCGACTCATTTTTCCCCCTTCAATAACTCAGACTCAACTCACAACTCAGAAGCCACCCACCCCTCCCTTTTTCTGTGGGGGGGGAAGCTTGTTTTTAGTAGGGACTCCAACTTGGTCCTTGGTATCAAAGACTCGGATCTTGGGACTCAAAAACTTCCCAACATCCCTGCACTACAGGGGCCTTCCTAGCTTGAGGGTCCCTGTGCCCCCCCCAGAATTCACTCCTTCTCCCCATGACAAAAAGTAAAATTAACAGAACGAGCAGCACCGTTTCTCCCCAAATTGTAAAGATGTAGAACCACAACTCTGTTGTTTTGGTTGTGTCCTTTGTGACAACATTTTTTAAAAAAAAAACTAATCCTTTTTGTTGTTTTAGACTTTGGTGTTTCATTTCAGTGGGGGATTTAAGCACACAGTCCATTCTCTGCTATTAATTAACAGCCCTTTAACTGTAATTGGTGGTTTGGCACATAAAGACTTCTAACAATCAAATAAATTCAACTCCCCCACCCCTCAACTAATAAATATTCTAGATTACTGAACTGGAAATTTGCAATTGTCATAACAAATAAAATATAGCTTCCCTAAACAGTGATTCTTCTGGTAATCTTTATTATATGGAAAATCAGAGTGTTGTCTGTCTCTGGAACCAAGATCCAAATGCACTTACGCCAACTTCATTTGATATGGTTTATGTATTAATCTGTTAATGTGGCACTAGGCAGGGAGAAAATTATTTATCCAAAAACTGAGGTAAATGTGTTACCTCTTGTGCTCCCTTACACTTGTTTCAGCTTGTCCTTTACCCCTATAGCTTCTGTACATTTGTCCTTCTAAAGTGGAGGGATCAATTTTGCTTACCTTCTGCAAGCACCGAATGTTCTTTCTGAAATACTAATTTCCTTTCCCCCTTTTCAACAAAGTCCAATCTCCTCCCTCCCTTTTCAAACCCTTTTATTTGCTTTTTCTTTCTGCTCTTTGGACTCTGCTTTCGTCCCACCTTGAATGTCTTCATCCAGCAATCCAGCAACCTATTTGCTAGTATTCCTCTCTATCTCACAGGTAAGACCAGAAGCCTGATAGAAAAACTATATTTTTTTAATAGGAAGTTTAATTCTCAGAGTTCTCAGTGTTTTGTTTTGTGTTTTTTTTCCAATTTTTAAATTTTTTAACATAGGGGGTGACAAAAGGGAAAAGGCAATTGGAATTGATGAGGAAGAGGGGAGACAATAAGATACTGATATCCAATCTATATCTATTGCCATATCAAGATTTTAAGTTATTCTATTTACTCTTTTCTGCCTTGTAGATAAAGTTCTCATTTCAATATATGTTATTCAGCTGCTGCCTGTTGATTCAGTCCACTTGTTAAATAGATCCCATCTTTCTGTTCCATTTTGCAGGGGTTGATCTTTCATGACTTCTGATAAGATATCCATTTCAGTTATTTCCCGTATCTTTTCAATAAGATCTTCTTGTTTCGGTACCGTCGGGCTTTTCCAATTTCTAGCATATATAATTCTAGCTGCCGTCACAATATATATAACTATGTATTCCTTTGACTTATCTATATTATCGGGTATCATACTCAGTAAAAACAATTCTGGGGCTAATGGCACCTTACAGAGCAATATTTGTTGTAACATAGCATGTACTCTTTTCCAGTATTTTTTCGCTACTCCACATGACCACCACATATGATAATACCTTCCCACTTGTATTTCACATTTCCAACACTTATTTGATACATCTGTATACATCTTTGACGATTTTTCTGGGGTCATGTGCCACCTATAAAACATCTTATCTATATTCTCTTTGAAATTAAACTAATCAAAGCAATATATACTGAACAAAAGGCGAAAGTAAAAATTAATGGCAAGTTATCAAAAGAAATCCAAATACAGAAAGGTACTACTAGACAGGAGTGTCCACTCGTCCCACTCCTATTTATTTTGACTCTGGAAATACTAAACGAACAAATTAGAAATAAAAAGGAACTAAAAGGATTAAAAGTAAAAGGGCAAGTCTACAAACTTCAGGCCTTTGCGGATGATTTAGTCATCATAGTGGAAGAACCACTGGACTCAATAAAAGACCTGATGGCAACGTTAGAAAATTTTGGTGACATGGCAGGTATGAGAATAAATCAAAAGAAGACCAAAATACTTACCAAAAATATGAGAGAACAGGAATGACAAAAGTTAATAGAGAAGACAAACTTCCAAGAGGATAAGAAAATTCGATATCTAGGAATACAAATTACAAATAAAACAAGCACACTATTTAAAGATAACTACATGAAATTTATGAAGGAAATACAGAACAATTTGGAGAAATGGGATAAACTACAACTATTGTTGCTGGGAAGAATTGCAGCGATTAAAATGACCATCTTGCCAAAAATCTTATTTTTATTTCAGTCAATTCCTATCATATTAAAACAGTCCTTTTTAAAAAGAACTTAATAAGATAATCATGAGATTCATATGGCAAGGCAAAAAACCAGGAATTAAAATCAAGGCAATGCAAGATGCTAAGCAGAGGGGTGGCCTCGGCCTTCCTGATTGGGTTCTGTATTATAGAGCTTATATTTTAGATTGGATAAAAGAATGGATAACTCTAGAAAATGATAGATTACTTATCTTGGAAGGACGCGATTTGCAGTTAGGTTGGCATGCTTATTTATGGTATAAAAAGGATAAAGAACAAAAGAACTTTAACTCACACATGATAAGAAAAGCTTTACTGGGAATGTGGAGAAAGACTATACAACAAATATATTACAAAATACCTGTATGGGTGTCATCGATAGAGGCCTTTACACAACCTAATCTTATGACAAAAGCAAATCTTTTAAGATATCAAGATCTATTTAAAAAGGATGGTGAATTAAGGTCTAAAGAGGAGCTAGAGTCACAGAATGTCTATATAGATGGGTGGCCTAGAGCACAGCTAGAATCTAGATATACAAAAGATAAAATAGAAGGTTTCTACTCAGAGTAAATGATTTTTGATAAACTTTTATTGGATTCAAAAGAGCAAATTGTTAAGAAAATGTATAATTATATGCTGGAAATTAAAATGCAAGATGAAACGGTTAAAGAATCTATGAGTAAGTGGGCACAAAATATAGGGCATAACATTGATATTGATCAATGGCTGAAAAGCAGTGTTTTTTTAACCTCTCCTTGACCTCATTGAAACGGGGTAGCACATTGCTTTAGAGAAAGAACTTTACATGGTTTAAAAGATATGTGAGGGGCATTGTTTTAATTTCTAAATCAAAGAGAAGAACAGCAGTGACATTGTATGTAAATCAATATGCTTTGAATGCATTGAATGATAGGAGGGAAGGAAGGAATCTCACAGAAATATTCAAAATTAAATTCCACTCAGCACAATGGGATTTTCTCCTAGTTATGCATAGGACTGCAGCCTTTTTGCCTTGTAAAGTTAAATTTGCTTGGTGTGATCATCTTCTAAATTGATGTACCTGTGGTCTGATATCTGTGTATGTTTTAACTGTGATACTGAAGTCACGTATATAATCTATAGATATAGATTGCAAAGCCTAACAATCTGCAAACATCGTACTGTGTAAAGTAGTAAAATTATGCAATATGGTGTTCGCATCTGGAACAACAGACTGGGAAATGCTGAAGTGAAAAAGAGCTGAGTTACTGGGAACTTCTGCAGCATGCTGACCTTTTAAAAACTGCTACTACGTGCAAAAAGTTGAAAATTCCATACACAAAGTCATGTCTCAGGATGTATTAGAAGAAGTTAAACAAAATGGACAAATTTCATATTATCACATTGATTTTTCATTGGAAGCTGGACTCCACAGTTCAAATGTTGACCTCCTAACATAAGCTGCCAACTTTAAGATGCTATTAGAGTTCCAGTCCTAAATAACACTAGAAAGGAATTTGCCAAATTCAAAATCAGAACTGTGCTTCAGTTTATGTTGCTACTAGACAAGAGGCTGTTTTTATATCCAGAAGCAGTGCACCCTTAAGGGGAAGAGTTAGTCTGTTCATTCTAGAATTGGCTAGGATAAGCATTTTACACATAAACTGCCTTTGATGTTCTAATTGGGAAACAACACTGCATTGCTTGCATGTCTTTCTTCATGATTAATATTCTGAATTAAACAAATTTTCTGGTCAGGTTTTGTGTGCAGGCATAACAGTTGTAAAAGAATGAACTGCTATAATTCTGTTGTTTCATGTATGCTAGAGTAGGTCCATTGAATCAGTAGGGATTTGGGGAGTCAAGTCTTCCATAAATTCCATTGATTCAAATTGATTCTAACTGTGATTTACTTAGTGGGATTTAAAGAGCAGCTGACTCACCAAATCTACACTGATTCAGTGGACCTATTCTAGTATGACTTACTACACTCAGTGACAAGATTTCAGCCAATATATATTTGCTATAATGTGTGATTTGACTCCTCGGAGACAGTATCTAAATTAATAATCTAAGGAGCTGGGGCATGGAGTGTGTATGTTAAATTTCTTAGCAAGGTAGTAACTCAACATGTTTATTTACAACTGTGTTATGTGCCATAATGTTTAACCAATTTATAGTGGCCCTAACAGGGATTCAAGGTAAGTCAGACATTTCAGGTTTTCTCAGTTTTACCCCCACCCATGACATTTTTATGGCTGAGTGGTGATTCAAACCCAGACTTCCCAAAATCCTAATCCATCACTCTGTCCACTATACTATACTGGGTAACTGTAGATACAACTACAATGTTGCAATTAGTCGCTCACTGAGGACAAGCAATTTGTATGATCCAAATCTTCTCATTTCCATGTTGCACAGAAATGAATCTAGATGTGGAGGGAACTGTTTCAGTTCCTTTCTCCAAGATTAATATACAGAATTAAACAATTTTTTGGTCAGACTCGTGACTGGAAGGGACAAGGATTTTGATTAAACATGATGTGAATTTGTTTTATTCATGTTGCTAAAAGGTAAAACAACAATTGAAAAGAAAACAAAAATAAGCTGTTGGGAGATTTAGCCGTCAAGGTATGTCAATGGCAGAGAGCATAGAAAATGAATTAGTTGTGGTATTTATATAATAGGAGCAAATATTTGCTGCATAGATACATGCTTCTGCTGGAGAAAACTTTACCTTTCTTAAATAATGAATAAGAAGCAATTACTTTTCCATTAGGCCTTCAGACTGTCCACTGGAAGGGGCAGACATTGTCTGTCTGCATATGACAAGAATAAAACAATTACAGGAGCAGCTGACAACGGTAAAATACAATAAATTCCGTCGGCGCAATAATAGTCCAGGATCAAACCTACATTCTAAGTGTGCTTGCACTGAAAGCAAGTTGACATCAGTGGAGCTTCTGTCCCAGTAAATATCATATGTTAAGCTATAAAATAATCTGTTACGCTTGAAGTGATGTGTTTCTCATCAACTGTAAAAAATTATTTGTCCCTGTAACATGGAGAAGGGTAGGTCCAGGCAAAGCATGAGTTGAATCTAACTATGGATGTTATTGGTTACATCTTACAGAGTTTGCCATAGCATGCATAAACCAAATTTACCTCATATGTCTGAAGAAATGGACATGCCCACAGAAGCTCATATGGAAACAATCTTTAAGGTGCCACAAGGTTTTTTAGATAGATAGATAGATAGATAGGTAGGCAGGCAGGCAGGCAGGCAGGCAGGCAG